CCATTCAACAAAACACATACAGAGCTGAAGAAAAACCGAACAGCAGTGCCCAGAACTGGAAGACAGAACCTGTTCTGAAATGGTACAAAGGGGTATAAAAGATTGGTGCAGTAGGACATAATTTTTTTAGCAATATTAGAGGGCAAACCAAGATCGAAATAGCTTTGGGTGAAAGGAGGTAATACTGTTTTGGAAGTATGTTTTATCTAGAGAAAACTTATGTTGTTCACTCCAAATTGACTACTGACTGGAAAAGCTATTGTTACGACAGTGGAAGTCATGTGACGCTAGTAACACGTCATGAGCTTTTAGAAGATTTATGCCCCTTCCTGAAGCCTCGAGTGTTAACTAGATATGCGGTATTCTTGTATATAAGACCACCAAGAAGTGACAGCAAGAATGTAATTGAACTGCAGACAGAGATAGAGACCGACAATTGAGTCGAGCACGTGAGTCGTTCGTTGTGAATTATAGCATGACCGTGGAAATTAAGTGAATTTCAAAGTTGTATTGAGAAAGAATAAACTAGTTTTATCTAAGAAAGGACTTGTGTCACTAAAGTTTCATCGGAAAGAAATTATACAGGAAACTAACTAACGACCAGAGATAGTGACGTAACACTATAAATGATGGGAATGTGCTCATCTATGTAATGAGTGAAATTAAGCCTATTTATTATCATCTCAGAAAAAAGTTGTTAAAAATTCCAAATTTACAAACTTACACGTGTTCTTATTGAATTATTCATAAGAAAGCAGTAACATGTTTGGTTATTAGTTTTGTTGGATATACATGACTGTTCAGTTTAAGAGTTATTATTTAGTTTATTTAGTGATTTAATATTTAATGGTTATTTAGTTTTCACAACAAGAGTGTTAAAAGTTAATTATTTTAAAAGTAATAGTTATGATAATTTTTTTACATAATTCTGTACAAGTCTTTCGCTGTGTATGTAGTTTAACTGTTACTAGGATTTTGTAATATTGTTGACAATATTACAAAAGAATGTAGAGGCTTACTCAAAGCCTCTACAATCTTCTCGTTATGTTTAATATTGTCGTTACTAGAGGGCTAGATTTTTCTGCCACGTATTAAAAATACGTGCAGATACAGAAAGGAAGTAAGTAAGAAATTGAAGTTATTAGACTGTGTGATTGTCAGATTAGCCATAACAGGCAATTTATAAAGTGAGAGTTTCACAGTCTGTATTGTAACAACAGAGATAAAGACAGATAATTTGTCTTCTCAAACACTGTTCTAAAGTAACTAAACTTGCCTATGTGGACTTTGATGAAAAAGAGACAATAATTTAAATCTCTGGATACAACTGTGGTTACCAACAGTTATAGTGGTGATTCTGAAATGAGCTTCACAGTTTGTCTTGTAACAACAGAGATAGACAAGTGTAATTTGTCTCGTCAATTGGGTTCTAACATAACTGAACCAATCTGTGTGGGCTTTTGACAAAAAAAGAATTATTTAAGGCTTTAGATTCAACTGTGATAACCAAAAGTGCAACGAATTTTCCAGAAAAATAACTAAAAATTAAGCATTAATGAGTAACTAATAATAATAATATATTTACATGTCATAAGCACTTACACACTTTTTACGCTACATTTTGACCACCCCAGAAAGATAGTAACATCCAAATACCTACTCACACTTTTATTACTCTGAATAATTTTTGTTGTAACCACTGTATTATAAAGAAGTCAATAAATCCACTTCCAATGAGAACCAAGATTACGATAAACTCTGTGGAAAAGTTCTAGTAATTGTGCTGCACAAGCTTATTTCCTACCGATGGTGTCTTAATGTTGTCACATAAACAGTCTAATGGCAGGAGCATTAACATGTTTCTACTTTAGTAGCTAATAAACATAGGAAACAGATGTGAAAACATTAGAGGTAGAACCTCACACATGAATTACTTTGGAACTTTGTGGTCAATATTAACCAATACTACTAACTTGACTTTGCATTTTTCGACCTTCATACTTTTATGGTGGTTACAAGAGCATTCAAACTGACCGATCTCACAACAGAGTTATGATAGAGAAAATAACAGATATATTATAGTTTTTCTGAAAAAAAAAGTTTGATATTTATTTAGGAGGTTTGAGATTATGCAAATGAGATTTGAAAATTCAGAAGATTAAAAGTATTTTTCGTCGTAACCTGAAAATAACTTTGCACTCACTGCAGTCAACACTCTGACTCCATATATTCACAAAGACATGTTTAGTCAAAATACTGTTGTTTTTTTTTGTCTACAAAAGACTTGTAATGTTTACTAAAAGCTTGAAAAATTTTGTGAAAATACAAAAAACATGTTAAAAATTATAGTAAACAAACTCTGATGGTTACTTTAGAGTCACGAGGTCAGTGTAATCCACAGAATCAGTAGCGAAAGAATTAAGAAACAGTTTGAGTAGCTTGTGAATGTTACTTAAGTTAGTAGCATAACATAGAATGTTGCATGTATGTTTATACTAATAACAGCCTGACATTCACTGTTGCATGTATGTATATTAGGACTAGCAACTAGCCAAACATTTGTGTTGCATGTATGTATATTAGTACTAGCAACTGGCCAAACATTTGTGTAGCATGTATATTAGGACTAGCAACTGGCCAAACATTTGTGTAGCATGTATATTAGGACTAGCAACTAGCCAAACATTTGTGTAGCATGTATATTAGGACTAGCAACTAGCCAAACATTGTGTAGCATGTATATTAGGACTAGCAACTAGCCAAACATTGTGTAGCATGTATATTAGGACTAGCAGCTAGCCAAACATTTGTGTTGCATGTATATTAGGACTAGCAGCTAGCCAAACATTTGTGTTGCATGTATATTAGGACTAGCAACTAGCCAAACATTGTGTAGCATGTATATTAGGACTAGCAGCTAGCCAAACATTTGTGTTGCATGTATATTAGGACTAGTAACTAGCCAAACATTGTGTAGCATGTACATTAGTACTAGCAACTAGCCAAACATTATATAGCATGTATATTAGGACTAGCAAAACATTGTGTAGCATGTATATTAGGACTAGCAACTAGCCAAACATTGTGTAGCATGTACATTAGTACTAGCAAGTAGCCAAACATTGTGTAGCATGTACATTAGTACTACCAAGTAGCCAAACATTGTGTAGCATGTACATTAGTACTAGCAACTAGCCTAACATTGGGTTGCATGTATATTAGGACTAGTAACTAGCCAAACATTGTGTAGCATGTATATTAGGACTAGTAATTAGCCTAACATCCAGTGTTGCACATATGTATATTTGTACTAATAACAGGCCTAACTTTTAGCATCACCTGCATTTCTGTTCGTGATCTGTTTGTATCATACTTAACATACGTATTGACATTTGTATATTAATAACGTTTCTGTTCTCAATCTATTTCTATTATACTTAACATATGAATTGACATTTGTATATTAATAATGTTTCTGTTCTCGATCTGTTTATAATTTAACATTAAAATTGAGACATACTAATAGCTTTTTGTTGTGTTTATTTATTAACACATTAAGTGTAAGATTTTGAGAAGCTGATATTAACATGATATCTGTTTCTTGTTAATATTATATTTAATGGGTTAGAATATTTACAGGTCTCTTCATTGTGAATAATATCTCTTCTCACCTGTAGGTAGTGGTAATGAAGTCCAATCAAATTGGCCAATGTACATGCTAGGCTCTATCTTTCCCACAAGTGGACCACATTTCCTCTCTAAGTATGTATCCGATAGTGTTCTTTCCAGATCCCTGAACTTGGTTTGTGCTCCCTGGTAATACACAGTAACAGTTTATGTTGTAACAAAATACAATGATCATCACATCATTCAAAAACTGTACAATGGATCACCAGTTCAACTGTATATCTAAAATTGAGCTTTTGTTAACACATCCTAAAGGTATTCCTCTGATTTCACTGACCAAACAAAAAAGTAACTGTGCTCATGCACCACTTTAAAGTAACCTATACAACAAGTTTCACTGCATTTGCATAAAATACAGTGAAGATAATGAACAACAGTACTTATATGTATTTTGTTTGATCTTTGAAAAGAAAAAATTCCATTTGGCATATCCTTACCTGACTGTCAAATAGTTGTTAAAGTCTAATTGTTTTACTCAATACATAAGAATTAAAACCATAATTATTTAAAAGCTAAATAAAAAATCATTACATCAAACCTAAAAATTTCTATAGGTTAACACTGACCCTTAACTATAAGCCTTCCCTTTGGCTTTCTAACCAATCTCGACAGGCATCCTTTACAGCATATGTCACGGTGTTTTAGTGTCTTACATTCAAAATTTTATTAATCTACTTCTTGTTTATGCTATTCCAATTAGTATAACATAAACGCTTAGCTAATAATCCATAGTGGTAATAGTAAATAAGTTTAACTTCTTAATTTTATACAGCAATATTTAAATAAATCCTGAATTTCCTCTAGTGTGACACATTTTCTCTATGCATCTTCTCTTCCATATTTTATCCACCAACCCTCCAATAAGTACAAAATTAAACATAAATTACTCACTGTAAAATCATCATTGCTCAGACAAACTACAATTTTTAAAGCCATTAGTTTTGTTTGGCTACAGAAGCTCCAAATATACAATCAGACCCCTCTTGCCACACACACCTGTCACATCCTCTCTTTCAGGATTTGTTAATAGTTCTCTCTCTCATGTTTAATTCTATATCATCTATAACCAATAGAAAGTCAAGGTTTTCATCTATCAAATGATGTGTTGTATACTGTCATTTTCTGAATGGAGAATTGTCAGTTACTCTGTTAGTCGAAGCTTCATTCCCACAGGAAAGATAATGACTAGCTCAGATTAATTTGTAATGGCTCTTGTCACATAGTTAGAAAGCCAGAAAAATTGTGACAGTTAGGGAAAATTGTCAACTTTTTGCATGTAATTAGTCTACGTTCTTTGGTGCATTATTTTATTATTAAATAAAAATTATTTTGTGCATTATTACCATTAGTATAAAAAAAAGTAGGGTTAAGTGTCGTCAACAATTTCAGCAAGAGAAAAGATTCTGGTCAGTACTTTATTTCATGTTTATTATTTATTTATTATTATAAAAGTAACTAAAATATTAGTTTAGGTTAGATTAGGTAAAATAAAAAATAATAATAATAATTTGATAAATATGTTCCATGAGGCACACATGCGAGCAGCTCATGGGTAATGTAATTCGATAGTATAACGTGACCTCCCAAGTGATTTACAACTTATAATGGCACAACTAGTAGCTAGACACAGTTCAAAGGGCAATAAAACTATAAAATTTGAATTATAAATAGATGTATACTGTTATGAGTTTAAAGCTGCTTAGGATAAACGAAAGTAGTTTCATTCTAGAAAGAAAAAAATTTAATTTAGATTTTTTTTTGGTAGTTATGGGGGTTGGTAAAATTTACCACCATTGTATAGAGTTAAGGTAGAGAAAATAACATATAAAATATAAAGTTTTCGTGCAAACAAACATTTGAAATGTATTTAGGAGATTTTAGAGAATACACAAATCAAACATTAAATTTTTGAGATGAAGAAAAGTATTTTTAATCTTAAGATTAAAATCACTTTGCACACGAACTGTTCAAAACAATTACTCGATATATTCACAGACAAATCTTTAGTAAAAATACTTCATTAAAAAAAATTGTATATTTTTTTTTGTATAAAATACTTGTAATGTGTACTGAAAGTCAGCCAAATTTTGTGAAGATATACACACACTGTATTAAAAGTTCTAATATTAAAACTATATACAATTAAAAATGGTCCCATGGTCAGTACCTGGGACTGACCGCATATTGAGAGAGTTAATCCTCTCGCTACTGGCTCGGTGGATGACATTGACCTCGTGACTCCAAAGTGACCATCAGTTTCCCTACCATAACTTTTGATGTGTTTCATGTATCTTTACAAAATATTAAGCTTTTAGTAAACATTAGAAGCCTTCTGTAGACGAAAAAATAGGATTTTTTACTAAAAATTTGCCCTTGGATATATATATAGCCAGAATGCTGACTGCTCCAATTGCAAAATGATTTTTATCATTTGAAAATTTTCAAATTTCATTTGCATAATCTCTATAACCTCATAAATACATACATTTTTTTTTTCAGTAAAATGTTATATTATTTCTATTATTTTTTCCACATTAATTCCATACTGTGTCAGTCAATTTAACTGACCTCATAACCACCATAAGAAATTAGAAAATAAATCTAAATTACCTTTTTTTCTTTATAGAATGACTACAAATTGCAACAGGAAACCACAACTGTTTGTCGAAAATAACTTAAAACTTGTAACAGTATACATCTGTTTATACTTAATTTTATTGTTTTATTGCCCTTTGAACCATGTCTAACTAAGAATCCCACCACGCAAATTACGTAATGTACAAGCTGTTCTGTGAGCATATCTTGTGAACTTTTTTTTCATTATCTTACCTAATCTAACCTAATAAGTTTCTATTTTTACAATGTAGACAGCTTTACAACAGTAAATAAAGAATATACATGAAAAACAAGAAATATAGTATTCACATAGATCTCTTGTTTTTTTGCTGTCAACTGTCAATGAAATTTAAGCCTAATTTTTATTCTAATGGTACTACTACATTAGACAATTTTTATTTAATTAAATAATGCACCTGAGAACACAGAATAATAACATGTACAAAGCAAACAATGTCCTATAGCTATCATATTTCTTTTAACTTTGTAACTATGAAATAAGAGCCACAAAAATTCAGCTAAAGAAAAAAGTTTCGACCTGGAGGTGAAATAGACAATTCTCTGTACAGAATACAATATTGTTACGACAGCGGAAGTCACGCGATGCTGGGAGCATGCACGCTGGAGTTTCTTGAAGGATCATAAAGGCCCAAGAGCATTCGAGATGGCCTCTTTTTAGTATACAAGCCTGGCAAGAAAAACCAGCACAATCAAAGAGATAGATAGATAATTGAGTCAAGTGAACAGTAGGCACCGTAAGTATGTGAATCACTGTGATTTATAGCATGTGTTATAATAGTTATTACATGTATTACAAAGTTTGTATCAAGAAAGAATAAACTAGTTTTAATCAAGAAAGGGCTTGTATCGCTGAAGTTTCTCGGAAAGAATTTCTACGGGAAATCAACAAACAAGCAGATACATAACAATATAATACGTCATTTAACAGAGTAAAATTTTAGCTTTCTATTTGTTATAAATAACATGTATAAAACATCATAAAGAGCTACTGACAATTTGTGAAAGAGATGATGCAACAGGTGGGAATGGCAAGCGAGTCTGATGTTCTAGTATATGGCTCTATACACAAATAAGATTGAAGGCAATAAAAATATTGCCTTACGTGAGTAATATCTATATCATAATGGGTAATTTACATGAAATTTTGTACTTCTTGGAGGGGTGGTGAATAAATTAGAAAGAGGGAAGATCTAGAGACCAAATGTCACAATTCTCATACTTGGGGAGATTTAAGATTTTTTAATTACTTCCATATAAAACAACAAACTCAAACTTATATAATATTAAAATTTGATATATTAGCCAGGATTTGATGCACAGTTTGATGTATTAGCCAGGGTTTGATGCAAAGTTTGATGTATTAGCCAGGGTTTGATGTAAAGTTTGATGTATTAGCCAGGGTTTGATGCAAAGTTTGATGTATTAGCCAGGGTTTGATGCAAAGTTTGATGTATTAGCCAGGGTTTGATGCAAAGTTTGATGTATTAGCCAGGGTTTGATGCAAAGTTTGATGTATTAGCCAGGGTTTGATGTACTAGCCAGGATTTGATGCAAAGTTTGATGTATTAGCCAGAGTTTGATGCAAAGTTTGATGTATTAGCCAGGGTTTGATGTAAAGTTTGATGTACTAGCCAGGGTTTGATGCAAAGTTTGATGTATTAGCCAGGGTTTGATGCAAAGTTTATTCATATGCAATGATAACAAAGTAGTTTACTTAAATTTTTAATGTAACTCTAAAAGGTCATGGCGTGCACTTTGACCTGCCCATAGCAACAGGGTTAATAAAACTGCATGCTATCTTATTATTTTTTTCTATACTAAATAATTAATTCACATTTATACTACAATAACAATAACTTTTAGTACTATTCCATGGAAAATAAGTGTGTTAGATAGATTTTAAAAATTTAAAGAGGTTTTATTGTAGATTTATATACCTAACAAATGGTTTTCTATTATTTGCTTTAAAATTACTGTTCAAAGGTTTACAAGGAATATATGTACATACATGTCCCTAATTCAAGATTGACAGATTAAAAGGAAGGTAGTTAGTCAACAGTTCTCACCACCATCTTTTGAGGTACTCTTGTTTGACCAAATAGTTGGATTTGATGGCCATTATTATAGTGCACCCACAGCCACAAAGTAAACAACACATTTTTGCAGCAATGAGACATGAACCCTCAGATTCAAAGTCCAGCGAGTTAACCATCAGGCCATGCCATGGATCTGGTTTTTAGTTAGAACAATACAAAAAAATGTGTAAGTCCAGCAAGTCAACCATCAGGCAATGTCTGGACCTGGTTTCTAGCTAGAACAATACAAAATTCATGTTGTCCAGCAAGCTAACCATCAGGCCATGCCTGGACCTGGTTTCTAGTTAGAACAACACAAAATACGTTTAGCAAGTTAGCCATTAATCCATGCCTGGACTTGATTTCTAGTTAGAACAACATAAAAGATATGCTAATTTCAGCACATTAACCATCAGGCCATGCCTGGACCTGATTTCTAGTTTGAACAACACAAAACACATGTTAAATCTCCCAAAGTAACCATCAGGTCATGCCCGGACCTGGTTTTTAGTTAGAACAACACAAAACACATGTTAAGTCTCCCAAAGTAACCATCAGGTCATGCCTGGACCTGATTTCTAGTTAAAACAACACAAAACACATGTTAAGTCTCCCATAGTAACCATCAGGTCATGCATGGACCTGATTTCTAGTCAGAACAACATAAAACACGTGTTAATTTCAGCAAATTAGCCATTAATCTATGCCTGGACCTGGTTTCTAGTTAGAACAACACAAAACACATGTTAAGTCTCCCAAAGTAACCATCAGGTCATGCCTGGACCCGATTTCTAGTTAAAACAACACAAAACACATGTTAAGTCTCCCAAAGTAACATTAATCTATGCCTGGACCTGGTTTCTAGTTAGAACAACATAAAACACATGTTAAGTCTCCCAAAGTAACATTAATCTATGCCTGGACCTGGTTTCTAGTTAGAACAACATAAAACACATGTTCATTTCAGCAAGTTAGCCATTAATCTATGCCTGGACCTGGTTTCTAGTTAGAACAACATAAAACACATGTTCATTTCAGCAAGTTAGCCAT